TACAGGTCTTGGGTGGTTCACCTGCCAAGTAACTTCAATACCCCTGTAAACTTTGGAGTCACAGAATCTTACACTCTGATGCCTAGGAGAAACTAACTGTGGACAACTAAACAGTGGTTGATTTGTGATTACAACTCTGGTCTTGCTGAAAAATCGCTCATTCGCAAACTTGATAAATCAAGGTAAAGGCATTCAATAGATGGTGTTACAGCATAAGATTGGGTTTTATGTTGAGATATGGAAAGACGTCTAGACACCAATTAAAGTACATATTGAAAAAACCAAGTTGCACAATATTATACGGCATTTTCTGATGTTTGCAAAAATACATACTTTTTCTAATTAAACATGCACACGTACACTAGCTAGAGATGAACAGTATAAGACATTTATTGTCAGCTTTCCCTGTAGAGCTGAATTTTCTCTTTTTTATATTTCTGTTACTGTTTGGATTTTTTATACTATGTTTGTACTACTTTTGCAACAAGAAAAAATACTTAAGATTTGTAAAAAGAAAAGGAAAAAAACCCCAGAAAACAAAAGCGACTCAGGTATCCTGTTTCCCCCTCGCTCTTTGCTCGCTTTGCAAATGCACAAGGTGACCCCCACCCAGGGAGCAAGAGCAAGGACAGAGCTGGAGGGGCGGAGGAGGGGCAGGTATCCTTTGCCACATCAGTTACTGCTCTTCACGTGTTCTGCAAGTCAGGAGACCAGGGTGCTCTGGGCCATGGACCAGGAAGGCCACAGCAGGCAGACAGAGAGAAGTTCCGGAACTGCCAGTGGTCTGAGGAGAACTTAAACCTCTGGCCTTCGACAAACATGTATGTTTCTCTGTGCCTCAGTTTCCTTATTTATACAAGTTTTCTGGTGGGCAGGGTCCCGGTGAGAAAGAAACCCTGAAAAAGATGTCTGGCCTCCCAGGCCAGGGCAGCCCATCGGCAGCACCAGCACTACATAAGCTCCGAGGTGGCTGTAAAAATGTCAGCATGCAAAGTGCATCTTGGACAAGCACAAGAAAACTATTTACAGCCTGAGAAGGCCCCAATGGCCCCTTCCAGAAACCTGATTACTCTGTTTATGACGACTCAGGCAGCCAAGGATAAAGTGCCTCTGCTCTGTCAAATGGCAAAAGCTTAAGTGAAAGTGAACACCCCTCTCCTGGGACCCTGGGGTGGGAGGGACGGGCACAAATCACCCCCACCACCAGCAGCAAACCCAGCATACCACTGTCAGTTCGGTGTCCCATATCTGTCAACAATAAGCACGGAAATGAAAGGCTCACCCTCCCACGGAGCTGACAGAAGCGAACGTTCAGCCCAGCCTGGGCTTGGTGCAGGTGGTAGATGGGTTGTTTGATCCTTTTAGATTTTGCAGTAGTGTAGAGACCTTCCAAAAGCCCATTCCCAGAGCCCTGAGTCGCTTTGCTTTCCTGCTTAAAGACAGGGAGCTTTAGAGACAGCAATTGCTCTTTGCTCCATGAATAACAGTGATATTATAATGGCAGAGTCCTGGCTGGTTCTGGTTTTACTCAACCAAATGTGTTTCTGAGAAGCTGTATGTAAGTGGAATGGGGGCCTGAAAAAGCCCTGGCACAGGACCAGAAAACATTTCTGAAGAAAAAAATGCATCAAAGCTTTTATGGGTTCTCTATGAGGGTTGGGAGGGGGATAATGGAGGAATTTCCCTGTCCTCATGAAATATTTCTTTTCTGTTTGAGTTTTCACTAAGAGCATAAATTATGTAAGCAGAAAAAAAAGAATAGAAATGTATATACAAAAGGAGCCCACTGGGCACTCCTCCAGGCTCACAAAGTGTCTTTTGGTAACAGAGTAATCACCCCTTGATGTATCTGCTTATCTTTGGAGGTCAATGTTTGTAGGCAGAAAAAACAATAATTTCTCTGAGGGACACCTCTGCTACTTAAAGGAGCCTTGAAAAGTCTCTTTCCCTAGCAGATGAATCAGCTCTTCATTTCTTGGCTTCTCTTCAAATGTCAGTATTTGTGTATTTCCAGTTTTCGTAAAGACAGACACACTTGCATTTGGTGGACCAGAATCTGACAGAAGAATGTGACCATCCAGGCACTGATGACACGGAGACTGGTTGGGGCAGGCTTTGTCCTTGTCCCCCAGACGTCCCTGGGAAGGCTCATGTGACCAACAAGACCTCACGGAACTGACGACAGTAAGCCCAGTCAGGTGGTGCCCCTCCCCATCCACTGGATCTGTAGGCAATGTCTCCAAACATCTCAAGCTCATCTTGGGGGGCTGTCACAATGCAGAAGAATTCGGGTGCCGGGTCTCACTGGCCCCTTCACCTTGCTCCACGGCTGACGGCTAGCTGAGGCCCAAGAAGTCCTTGCCATCCCCAAGGCAGCTTCAGATCCTGCTGAGCAGTGTGTGGCGTGTAAGTGGATGGGGACGGGGTGGGGGGGAAGGAGAAGGCACACTAAAGAGAGAATCATAGCAAGGAAGAGAACTCAGAGACCCTCAAAAAGGGGCAGCAGGGCTCAGTGGTTACAAGAGAGGCTTCTAGAGCCAGGCCAAATCCCAACACTTCCATTTATCAGCTGTGTGACTTTCTGCAAAGCACTTAGTCTCTCTGCGCCTGAGTTTCCTCTCGGGGTTGTCTGGGGGATTAAATGAGATAATACATATGAAACTGCTAAGAACCTACCAAGCACTATATAAATGTTATCTATGGTCAGCATCGTCAGCCTGCAATGTCTGGGGTCTCCACCTCCTGCTGGCTGCCAGTGCGGAAAGCGAAGTGTTCCCAGTGTTGCCCCTCCTCAGACTCAAGCCGCATGAACTCTCATCTCTCGGCGTTTGGAGGAGTTGCACTCAGAGCTTCTGCTCGTGTACTGACACGAGTTATGAATCATTATCAGCACGAATCATCGCTTATGCCCACCACACGCATAAGTAGAGTGCTCTCATGGGAGCCTGGCGACGCCTCTAAGAAGGAGCAGACACAACCACAGTAAGTACCAGACAGATCTGCGCGGGACTGAGGTATCCTACTATCGACACTTGCCCAAGGTCACGGGGCTTCTCTCCCGGCCAGCCATCGGCCGTGGGGCAGTCACGGGACACCGCGGCCTTGGACAGGACAGGTTCCCCACAAGGGGTTCGAAGGACTGGTTGCTCCATCGCCGCCATCGGTGCTTCTTCCGCATGCGCAGTTCCCACGCCGCCGTCGGTCCGTGTCATGCGTGATCCTCGCGACAGCTCTGGTCTCTGCGCAACCTCGCTCCCACCTTCCAGCTCTGACCACCCCTCAGGAGGCTGCTCAGAGGGTGTGAAGCTTCCAAGATTTGAGGCATCATCCGAATGATCGATTACCCAAATCGGGTAAAGAGGCAGCTGTTTGCTTTACTTTCGAAAGTCATTATTAGTGGGGTGATTGCCCCCATTTAAGGAAACGGAGCCTCGGAGCAATAAAGTGACTTGCCTGCGGCCACTGAGCTGGTGGGCTCCAGACTAGGGCTCGACGTTAGGTCTCTTGGCTCCACACGCACAGGAAAGGGCGTCTGGCTCATGGGTCAGTGCTGGAGGGCAGGGCTGAGGCATGGAACAGACGCAGAGGCGTCCCGCTCTAGCTTCTTCTCCACCACTCAGCCTCTTCCCCTTTATAAAGGGGCTCAGTTGACACTGGCTCCCTTTCCCTGCCCCGACCCTTGGCCCATCTGCCACCTAATCCAGCCTCCCCAGGCTGGTCACAGTCCCTTTGTCCTAGGGCTAAGATGTCAGAGCAGGGCTGTGGGCACAGACATGCCTCCATGATCCACAGTGGGAAACAGGCCCTGGGGTGGGGCTGCTGCTGGCACTGCCCGCACCCCCATCCAGACACAAGGTCAAAGACAAATGACAGGTCTCCACACTGAACCCAGCCATTCTGCTCTCCTGGGACTGACCCAAAGCTGCACTGACCCGGCATGGCCCTCAGCATGGAGAATGCAGAGAGGGAAACCACAAAATTCTCTTTCACCAAAACGTGCGTGGGCTGTCGGCCCAGAGCTCCCTCTTGGAGCGCTTCTACCATTAAACATCACACACAGACACAAACAAATGGAAATCTCCGCCCAGGCAGGCCTCCCCACTCACTCATCCCCCAGGGCCTAACACCTACACTTCTCAGCTTGCCCTCCCGAAGTTTGCATGACACCCCAAAGCAGCAGCGTGCAGGGGACGGCACGCAAGGGCCCGCTCGTAGGAGCTCGTGCTCGTAGGTCGCAGGAGAGGAGAGAAAGAGCCGCTCCCCCCAACAAACTGGAAGAAATACAGGCATGGCCACAAACATACGGACACGCACCCTCTAGCAGGATCTGACCTCACACATTTTATTTTACAGCCGGTCTGGTTCTGCATCTCCCACCTCCTTCCACCTGTTCTCAGGAGAGGAGGTGCCCGACAGCTTCGGGAGGAAGAGGCCACACGCGGTGGGCAAACAGCAAAACCAAGAGGGAAAGGAGACTGTCACCATCAGTGGAAAAAGGAGGAATGAAGCTTTGGGAGACTGAAGAGCAGGTTGTAGAGAGAGGAATGGAAACACAACCAAAAAGGATTTCACAGAAGCAATTATTTCCCCAAAGGGCCAACAAATACCATGACTACACAGTCCTTACTTTCAAACACATTTTCTTTTCCTGGTTCAATCTTCAGAATTACCCAATCATAGAAAATAACCAACTTGAATAAAATACAAAAAGTCTTAAAAACACACACACATACAAAAGCGCAAACCTCCCCCCCCCAATATTGAATGCTAGAAAGTCTAGGCATGCTTTTGATTTTAAGTATGTTAGTTTTTTATCTACGTGTTTCAATACTAGCTGAATTAAACAACACCTCTGCCCACGGGACACGTTTTCCTGTACTACACAAAGTCACATTTGTGCTGGCTTCATCCCAGCCTCCTCTGTGTACCTCTATACCCAGGCGGAGCTGGTGACACAAATGCTTGGACAACGACAATGGAGAAGATACTTCTGTACTCACATTTGTCCCAGGGGAAGCTGAAGGAAATGCGGGATTTGACTGAGCAAATGACCTTGCTGGAATGGCCGCGTATGATGATCCAAGATTTGAGACATAATCTAAATGATAAATTACACCAGCTGTGTGAAATCCTAGTTATTTACTTTACCTTCAAAAGTCATTATTAGGATGTGAGTTGGAAAAAAATAAAATAAAATTTCCTCTTAATATATTGATTAGTGATTGGTGTGATTTTTACCCCTGGGCATGTTGACAACAAGGCTTTATGTCTGTGAGAGCCTAGACAGTAACACCAATACATTTTAGTGTCTTGGGATCTGTTTGCTTTATATATATATACATATAGATGGTGGGGAGAGGGCACATCAGCAGGGAAGTTTAGTTATTAAAGAAATGACATCATAAGCCTTTGGAACGCTGGTTTCTGCTTCAGGCCTTACTCACCTTCAGAGTTCCCAGCAGGGTTATAAACGGCTGTGCTGTTTGGAGAGGAACACAGCGTTCCCTCTGCCGAACCGAGTATACACCGGATACCAGCACTGGAGAGGGGTGGAAAAGGGGAACCAGGAACTCAATAAGTTAAATGAAGAATAACCATATGACCCAGAAACTCCACTCCTAGCCATAGGCCCAAAATAGTTAAAAACCGATGTTCAAACAAAAACTTGTACATGAATGTTCATAGTGGCACTATTCACAATAGCCAAAAGGTAAAAACAACCCAAATATAGATCAAAAGATGAACAGATAAACAACATGTGGTACTTACAAACAATGGGATATTATTCAGGCATAAAAAGGTTATATATGCTACAACATGGGTGAACCCTGAAAATATTTTGCTGAGTGAAAAAAGTCAGTAATAAAAGGTCATATATTAAATGATTCCATTCATATGAAATGTCCAGAAGAGGCAAATCCACAGAGATAGAAAGCAGATTAGTGGTTGCCAGGGACTGCAGAGAGGGGAAAAGGGAATGACTACTTAATGGGTATGGGGTTTGGGGTAATGAGAAGGTTCAGGAACTCCATAGTGATAATATTAGCACAACCTTGTGAATCTGCTAAATACCACTCAATTGTACACTTTAAAATGACTAAAATGGGGCATTTGGGTGGCTCAGTCAGTTAAGCATCTGACTCTTGATTTCAGCTCAGGTCTTGATCTCAGGGTTGTGAGTTAAGCCCCACAATGGGCTCCACCCTTGCTGTGGAGCATACTAAAAATATTAATAATAATAATAGTAAAATAAAATATAAAATAAAATGGTTAAGATGGTGAATCTTAATTGAATTTTACCACAGTAAAAAAAGAGGGAGCCAGAAAAGGGAGACCCTTATAAAATTATTTTTTAAATTGTGATAAAATATACACAACACAAAATTTACCATCTTTACCATTTCTAAGTGTACAATTCGGTGGCATTAAGCACATTTACCTTGTTGTACAACCATCACCACCATCCATCTCCGGAACTCTTCATCTTGCAAAACTGAAGCTGCCCCCATTAAAAATGGACACCCCACTTCCTCTCCCTTGAGCCCCCGGCAACCACCATTTTGCTTTCTGTCTCTATGAACCTGACTCTTCTGGCTACCTCCTGTTAGTGGAATCATCCAGTATTTGTCCTTTTGTGACTGGCTTACTTCATGGAGCACAATGTCCGCAAGCTTTAGTCATGTTGTCACAGGGGTCAGAGGTCCCTTTTCTAAGGATGAATAATATTCCAGTGTATTGATAGACCACATTTTGTTAATCTATTCATCTGTCAGTGGACATCTGGGTTGCTTCCACCCACTGGCTATTGTGAAGAAGAAAGGGAAGCCTTTTCAATGTACTTTTTTCAAAACACTCAAGTCCAGTCTGCTGTTCACATCTTGGGCCATGTGCCCTCTCCTCTGCCTGGGGGGACCCCAGCCCCCTGCTTACTGCTCTGCCCTCAACCCACCCCTTTCTATTCTCAGCCCAGCAGCCACAGCCCAGCTCGGTGGAGCCAGAGAGCATCACTCCTCTGTTCAGCTCTCTGATACTCCACTCACTCTCAAAGCAGAAAGTCCTCCCAAGAAGCCCAGGAGCTCAGGATATGGGCCCCGGCACCTTCCCTGGCTCCTCACCCCAGCACTCCACTCTCGTCACACCAATGTTGCCTGAGCATCCCAGGGCCACACCAGGGCCTTCAAACTTGCTGTTCCCTCCACCCTGGGAGTACCTGTCCCCCAGACAGCCATGGGCTCATTTCACTCTCTCCTGAGGTGTCCTCAGAGAGGCCTTTCCCCAGCCACCCTATTTAAAATGCAAGGGCCAGCCCCCTGGAGGGCACATGCGTGCACCCACATGCTTCCTGCCCTGTCCTGACGCTGTTGTCTGCTTAGGTTCACCACCAGGGATGCTACCTAAGTCACTTGTTTATTTTATCATCTGCTCCCCTCACCCACGTTAGGTATATGCTCCTTGAGGACAGGGATGTTGCCTGTTTTGTTCTCTGCTGCTTCCCCAGCACCCAAAACAGAACGTGCCATAGGTGCTCAGTGAATATTTCCTGAGCATCTGCATGCGCCTGTTCTCCTGGCCAGCACTCACTTTTCAGAGAAGACCAGGCATTTCTGAGCATGTAGTTTCCCTTTCACATGCAGCTCCCAGTCCTAGACCAGAAGGAAAGGAAAGTGACCGAAGTAGAACTGAGTCCATGAGAAGGAAAGGGATGAGGGCAGGCTTCCCCGTCAGGTGGGAGCCTGGGGATGGCGGCGGGGGGGGGGGGGGGGGGGCGCGGGGGCCGGGGGGGGGGGGGGGGGGGGGGGGGGGGGGGGGGCAGTCGGAGCCCAGAGACAGGACCAACCCTGCCAACACCTCTCCCTCCTGGGCTCCTCCCCACACCTGCCTTCCCATCCATCTGTCTGTCCGTCCAGCCCCCACATCCTGTACCCATCTTGGACAGGAGCCCAGAATCCCAAGCCAGAGTCCCTCCTCCCCTCTTAGTGGACCCTTGGTCCCATGGCACCTCCCACCTCCCCCTCCCTCCCTCCTACCCCAGAGACACCCCACCCATTTCTATGACTGGTTGGGAAAATCTGGCAGGTGGACTCACAGTGAGCTGCCAAGCTTAAGAAAGGCTTATGAGGGACAAAATCTGCCATCACCTTGCAGTGTCAGCCACCCCCTACCTCCGCCACTGAGTGGCAGGGATGAACTTGCACAGTGTGACCCAAGCAGAGGTGAAGGACACTGTGGCATGACCCCCACTACACAGGGATCATTGTGCTCTGCAGAGTGGGCGAAGAGAGGCTGCACAGCCCAGTGCTTAAGCCGCACAGGTTCTGGGAGCACCAGACCCACGTTCAAGTCTCCACTCTGCCACTCTCTAGCTATAGGGCCCTGGACAAGTCCTTTCCTCTTTCTGGGCCTTGGTTTCCTCATCTGCAAAATGAGACTGATAATAGGATCTACCTCACAGTGTTACTGCTGGCATATGAAAAGGACTTATTATATGTTAGCTCTTTTAATATTATTGCTTTGGAATATTTCACTGCATCATTAATACATTCAGGGGGGCATTTATACTATAATAAACCTTTGCTTACATGGGCCCAAAGCATCTTATGACCACGGGGAAGGTGTGATGAGGCTCCATCTCCGTCTTGCAGATGGGAAACTGAGGCACTCTACAGTGACGTGTCTCAGTCTCACCTGAGAAGTGCTCTCTGGCCCTCATCCAAAATTTGGCCTGTGTTTTCCTCCCCTTCCATACTCAGTATGATGTACTCTGGGCATACCAGAGAGGAAGAGCCTGATACATTTCTGAGATGAATTTGGGTTCTAATAGCTATAATTTTGATCAAGGGTACTGATGGCAAAATCCTGCCACCAAGTCCCCAGATGGAACCATTCCTAGCTCCTGAGGAGCAAGCGTTGGGTTGTGGTCGTGAGCCCCCCAGGCTCCAGCTGTGGCTCCCGGGCTGGCATGGAGGACTCACCTTCAAATCAAACACCTTCTTGTCACAGATGCTACAGATGTGTGGCAGGTGCAGGGGGGCCACACCGTGAAAGTCATTCAGCTCGTGAGCCTGCAGGGGCCGCACGGACAGCAGAGCATGCTCCTCCTTGGCCCGCCGCCGGGCACCGCTGAAACCCTGCTTGCTGTTGTTAAGCCGACCCCCAAAGGAAGGAGGGGTCCTGTCTGGGGTGGGCTCCTCGGGGTCATACAGCTCATAGGGCTGGCTGCGGGGTGGAGGCCACAGGTTAGGGCCTGCCGTAAGATCGGGCTTGCTTTGGCCAGAGAATCCGTGGGGGCTCTCCCACTGGCTATTTGGACCCTGCAGCAGCAGACCTACCTCGCCTTTCACGCCCCCGGCCTGCTCAGCTGCAAATCCACCTGCCACATGCGACCCTTGGGAGTTGGGTCCGTAGAAGTCCTTGGGAAAGGCAGCTTGGCCATCTTGCCCTGAGTGGCTGTAGGGCCCTTCATAGGTCACACTGCCTGTGGTAGAGGCCACGACTGGCAGGAAGCTGGGCTGGCTGTCTGTTTCAGAGCCGTACGCCTGGCTGGAGTTGGCCTTGCCATACTCATAGAATCCTGCTGCAGCGGGAGCAGGCCCAGTCTTGCCAATGCCCAAGATGACTGCTGGCTGGGCAGGGGTCTGAGGCATGACCCCACTGAAAGGATGCATCACCACGGCGTTGGAGGGCTGGCTGGGAAGGCTCACAGAGGGTCCTGGGCCTCGTGTCTGGCCGGGGGGCGAGAAGCCAATTGCATTAGAGGGAAACCGGGCACTGGACATGGTTGCAGCATGTTGGGGCACCCCAGTTTGGCTGTGGGGGGCGCTGATCACAGACGGATGCCGCAGCTGGTTGAAGAGAGGCTGGGACATGGCCACTTTGGAGAGGACTTGGTTCAGGACTGTGGCGGCCGCGGTATTGTTGGTGACAGCTGTCTGTGCCAGCTTCAGCCGGTGGAGGGTGAGCTGGGCTTGCAGCTGAGCCAGCTGGAGGCTGGCAGGCGAAGGAAGCAGAGGGTTCGCGTTACTGACCGAGAATGGGTTCTTGTCCAGGAGCTTGGCGGCACTGCAGAAACACAAAATCTAGATGCACAGCTAGTTTTCACCCAGGGTGCCAGAGGCTCTTTCTTCGCTTATCCCTGGTCCCCCATTTCCTATAAAACCCACCCACACAAACCCCACATACAAGTGAGTCTGCAAAAAGCCTGTACTCACACACATATACCAATTTGTTTAAAAACTCCGATAGAAAAAATTATTTTACGACAGAATGGTCAATCTCACTGGTAATCACAGATACAAGCTAAAACCATTAGAAAAAAATTTTTCTCTAGCAAAATAGCAAAAATAGACATATATATATATTTTTAAGATTTTTTATTTATTTGTGAGAGAGAGAATGAGAGACAGAGAGCATGAGAGGGAGGAGGGTCAGAGGGAGAAGCAGACTCCCTGCTGAGCAGGGAGCCCGATGTGGGACTCGATCCCAGGACTCCAGGATCATGACCTGAGCCGAAGGCAGTTGCTTAACCAACTGAGCCACCCAGGCGCCCAAATAGATATATTTTTTTATTAAGAGCATTCAGTACTGATAAGATAAAGTAGAGTGGACACAATGTTCGTGATATAGTGTAAACTTGTGCAACTTTGTTAAAAGATAGCCTGATAATCTGCACTCATTACAGCCAAACTCTTTGACCTAATAACTCAATTCTATAAATCTGTCCTAAGGAAATAATGCAGACAAAACTTGATGCCCAAAGGTGCTTAATAATACTACATCATTTAAGAGTCCAAAGTTGAAAATTACCAATTTCCAATAACAAGGGTTAGGGGACGGTTTAAACGAAGTAAATTATGATATATCTACATAATAAAATGTCAAGGAATCATTTACTATTGATGTAAATTTCTACTTTATTATATAATATTTAAAACATTCAAAGAAGTATACCCAACACCAAGGTTAAAAGAGGAAACATTCCAACATACTAAAATCCCCTGGTCTCCGCTCTCCCCATCCATGCCGCACCCCAATCACTGCCAATGGTAGATACTATCTCGAATTTGGTAAGGTCATTGTTCACAACAAATTAGTGACATGAGCAAATCCATATACTCTATATGTTAAGCAAAAAAAAAAAAGCTGGCTTCACATTCACATCCAGAGTAAATTATGTGTATATTTGTGCCAAACACATTTTCATCCCAATCCTCATTTCACATTCAAAAGCAACAGAAATCAAGCTCCCTTCAATCCACTCTCAAACCCAATTAGCATAAGGAATAATCAAAAAAGTTACAAGTGAAGACTCTGAATCTGAAGTCGTAGGCAGTGGTGGGCTCTCACAGAAGCTTACTGAGCCGGTGTTCTGTCTGACGCGTGCCTTTCATGTGACCTCTGTTGGTTGGTTGTGGTGTTTTCTTGACCAAAAACCAGGATGCATGATCTGGAAAGGGGACAGACTTTCCCAGAAAGTCTGGATATGTGGTTACTATTGTCAGGGCTCTTTGGTAAGACCGTATTTTCTGGGTCTTCAACTCTCCTTCTGGGTAGTGGGTGTAATCGAGGAAATGTGTTTGGGATGTTGATGAACTGGAATTCCCAGGTCATGTTAACGTTAACCGGAAGAAGAGGACTTGAGCATTTGAAACTGGGGTTATCATGGACAACCCAGACTCTATCTTCAGCACGCCTATGGGAGTGTGGGGCAGAAATAGCAAGGCTGGGACCCTTGTCACAGGCTCCGGAAGAGTAAGTCTGATGAAACAAAGAAGAGAGGCTGGGGGTGGGCCCAGTGAGGAAAAAAGGGGAGACATGGAAAGTGTGTGCCATGTCACAGCTCTCCCACTTTGGAGACACTTTGAGGAAAGAGGGCTTCTGCTTAGGCTGGCACTTTGCATTGGTCTGAGAGAACTGTGGGAGGCAGGGAGGAGGTGTGGAGGGGGTAGAGAGGAAGAGAGGAGAGAGCCTAACATTTACTGCGTGCGATGCTCCTGTGTGACCAGTGATCAGCCTATGTCATCCCCTTTGATGTCTCCATCAGTCCTATTGGGTGGAAAAGGTTCACCCCATCTTGCAAGGCAAGAATCTAAAGTGCAGAAAGATGAGGTGACCTTCTTCCGAACACTCACCATTGGTGAATACAGGCATGGGATTCAAACCCCAGCCAGGCTTTGAAAAGAAGAGAAGGGGCATAGGTGGTTAGGCAAGCAGCTTCTCAGTCCTCCCTGAGAACACCTTCTCTTCATGGGCTGCAGCCCTGCTTGGTTTGAAGTGAGTTCTCAGAACATCAGGCACACCAACATTCAAACATAAGAGCAAAGCACACTTCAGAGCCAGAAAAAATGATTTTGGATTACTCTTGCCCATTCTGTGAGAAATCAAGAATTTACCATAAGTCACTGAAGAGACATAACCTTCGCCCAGCCAGCAGCCCTGTTGTGCTCCCAGGACAGAAGAGTTTGGCTGTATTTTAAGATTTTGGGGGGTTGGGGGAGGCATGGTTAAAGGTGGTTACAAGAGCTTTCCTCTTCTGGGTAGTTGTACAGCCAAGCCTTGGTGCCCCAGTGTGTCCCGAGAACAAATCATGACAGCAGTAGAGCTAGGGAGGTGCTAATTGTCTATGTAGGTGAGAATATGAAGGGAAAGGAGGATGGTCAAGAGTCTGATGATAGATTTCTACTTGTGTAGTATTAAGTAGCTGAGCTTTAGAAGAGCAATTAAGCTTAACTCAAAACCCTGCCCACACAGGGCCAACCCTTCCTACCAGGTTTGTCCACAACACAGCCTGTCCCCGCTAACAAGGCGATAATGAGGTGCCAACTTAATTTCCATGACCAGGGTAAGACAAGATTGGTTTTGTTTTTCCCAGAGAAGTCAGCTGTATTTTCTAAAACTGTGTTCTGGACTGGAGGGAGCTCTTGCAGGAGATTCCCCTTCACCTCTGAAAGGACACGCGAGAAGAGCTGTCTTTCCAGCTAGGAAAGCCAACCTCGCTGGATATTTGTAGGTCAGCCATGAGAAACAAGTGCTCTTCCGAGTGCAGCGGGGGTTACAGAAGTTTACCCATTCCGACGCAGCATGAAATAAGAAGACTCACTAGATTTTCTTCCCAACTTCTGCTTTGCCTCACAAATTCATATTGTCCCCAACCTTCACCAACTTTGAGTGGAAGTGATTTCATATGAATCATCAGAGTTAGGGACCTCTTTTGAACCAAAGATCCTTAAAAAAGAAGAGACACATCATCCTATGAAAGAAAGAAAGAAAGAAAGAAAGAAAGAAAGAAAGAAAGAAAGAAAGAAAGAAAGAGAAAGAAAGAAAGACAGCCCTAAAATCCTTAGCCTACAAGAGTTAATAACCTAAAAGCCAGGTACGTATAGCAATCATATTTCTAAGCCCCAAGCTGGGCCATATGATGTGAGATCTCTAGGGGCTAGAACTAATGTCACCTTCTTGTATTCCTGCCACCTCCGTTTGTCACTGTTACCTCACTTAACACATCCTGCTTTGTGTTAAAAATAATTGCTTATGTACCTTTCTCCCTCTACTAGACATAAGCTCCACAAGGGAACGGGGCATGGCGTGGAGATTTTCACAACATCCTGGCATGCTGTCTCGTACCTGGTAGTCACTCAGTAACTTCAGTGAACGGAATGAAGAAGGAACATAATGGATGTGGCTCATCAGAACCTGGTGGCTTTAAGATGGGGACCCCTCATTTGACAGTAGACATCTCTGTGGATAAAAACCCTCGAACAATTCAAAAAGGAGAATCTAAATATACCCAGAAAGCAAATGGATTTTGCTGTTGTATACAGCTTAAACCCCAATCAGGTACAGAGTCACTTGCCTAGAAGAGTGCCTACCACTCCCCATTCCAAGGCAGGAGTTCCAACACATCCTTCTCCCTGCTCAAATCTAGGTCTTGAAATTGAAAGAATAATCCTTGTGGTAGGCTGAATAATCCAATCTTAATCCCCAGAACCTGTAAATGTAACCTTACATGGTAAAGAGGACTTTGCAGATGTGATTAAATTAAGGATCGTGAGATGGAGAGATTATCCTGGATTATCTGGGTGGACCCGATGTAATCATGAGTCCTTTTAAAATGGAGGCAGGAGGATCAGAGTCAGAGAGAAGATATGAGGACAGAAGCAGAGGTCTGAGATGAAAGCAGAGGCAATGCTGGGGCTCTGAAAATGGAGGAAGGGGCCACGAGCCAAGGAAATGCAGGCACTCTCTAGAAACTGGAAAAGGCTAGGAAATGAATTTCCCCTTAAGCCTCAAGAAGGAACCTGCTGACACCTTGACTTTGGCTCTATGAGACTGATTTTGGACTTCTGACCTCCAGAACTGTAAAATAAGAAAGTTGTGCTGTTGTGAGCCACTCAATTTCCAGTAGTAGGTTACAGAAACAATAGGAAACTAATATAATCCAGCAAGAAAATTAGATGTAAGAGAAGCTTCCACTCAGAGAGGCAGTGGTGGGTATAGGGGTATTGGCTGGATCTTGTTGGTATAGACTCATGCCCCCCAAGGGCCTAGGAAGCACACACCTTCTGACTGGGTGTCCCAACACCCTCTGGGAACCTTGCCAGAAGCTAGCAAAACCCAGAGGTCTCTTCCTTTTCAAAGTCAGCTTTCTTTAACCCAGCTGGATCAGTGGCAACCTGGGAAAGCTTTGAATTGCAGACCCTTAGGGATCAAATCATCCTCCCAGCCCCACAGCAAGGAGAGAAAGTGACCTGCCCAGAGCCACATTAGCTGGGTGACTGCAAAAATCTTAGCGAGAGCCCCGATTATCCAAGCCAGCTTCTAGTGCCTGACAGAATGGCCTTGCCTACAAAAGCCCTAACTAAGCCCCGGAACTATCTATTTCATCACCAAATTATCATCTCCATCCATATTTATCTCTCCGTTCTGTTCAGAGAGATACTGACTACTTTTGATATGCAAGGCACTTGCCAAGCACCAGGGAGATGCAATGTGCAGTCCCCTTCTGGGATCCCCACAACTCTGGAGATGGTAGCAGGGATGCCCCCTTGTCTGGGGAAGGGGGA